CTCCAACGGGGAGCAGCAGCGGGCGCCTTGAAATTGCTCGGGCCTGTGTGAAACCCGCCACCCCAAAAACCTGCAGTGTCTTGTGTCCGGACCTCTAGGCCCTGTCCGGTGGGGTGAAATGACACTGAAAAATCACCCCATTATTTTTCGAGGGGCGGCCAGGACCTGATAAACGTCCTGGGACGCCCCCTTTTTTTTTTTTTTTTTTGCCCCAGGGGCCTCCATCCGGACATCAGGACCAGACACCGGACACCGGACATCGGACATCGGACACCGGACACCGGACTGTCTGGAACCCGGTCCGGACGTCCGGATGGTTACCATGGTTTCAGCGCACCTCCAAATCACGACCAGACTCCTGCCCCCTACTGGACCACCCTAATAAAGATCTGGAGAGAGATTTCTTCCTCTGCAGAAAATTGGGGTGTTAGGATCTTGGCCGAAGGCCATCTTCCGACCAGACATGGCGGTACACAATCTGGAGTTCGACCCGGCGGAATGGGTGTGGAAACCAGACGAGGGGAAAAACATCTCAACGTTTACCCCCATTCAGAACGACACGGTCAGGATGGGATACAAGCTCCTGCTGAAAACCAAAGACCCAGCACCGGTAATAAAGGCCAGATGGGAAAAATTAATAGGCCAAGAAGCCGACAAAATCACACAAATCCCGTGGAAGAAATTTAAGACAATCAGACCGATTAAAATCAGGAGCCTGCAATGGCTCATTACCTACGTAGCATTACCAGTCAATCAATGGCTTCACACGCGCCGCCGCAGGAACGATCCCACTAGCACAGATTTATGCTCTATCTGCACGGCGGGTGCACAAGAGGACATAATACACTGCCTAGTTCACTGCAGCGAAGCAACGGACTACTGGGCATGGGCCTCTGCTCTCTGGGATTCCCTCTTCCACAGTCCTTTCCCCGAACAGATCATCCAAATCCTTCTCTGGACTAACATCCCCAACCAGCTCAAGAAGACGGAGAGAGGTTCGGTTTGATAAGGAAGGTCACACTATGGGTCATCTGGAAAGAGAGATGCTGCAGAACCATCGAAAGGTTATCCAACTCAAAAGAGAAGGTATGGGGTGAGATGCGAACGTTGTTGCAGGCAGAAATCCTGTGCAGATGGCGGAAACTTAAACAATCGATGCCAGAGGATGCAGAACCGCAGGAAAAAGCCAAGAAGAAGTTTGTAGCACAATTGCTAGTGGATGGTAAGGTGGCGGAGTTAAGAAACGATCGATTATATTGGAAAGATTGGCACAACTGAGAGACAGGGAGGAGAGCACAGGCTGCTCATGTATCAGACGAGCATCTGAGTTGAAGGGAGAAAGGGTTATCAAGGCCAGAAAGGAAGCCAAGGGGAGAAGGAAGACTGTACGGAGGTAAGGATATGGGTCGATAGCAGACGCTGCCAAATGGATCCAGGTCGGTCAAGGGAAAGGACAACGAGAGTTGAAACAATCGCCGACTCAGGACAGACCAGATAACCCTCTGCGGTAATAAGGGGCAGACGTTCACACGCCACAACAGGACAAACCAAACGACTAATGGTGGATGGAAGGGAAGGTGGCTGAGCGGCGGGACGAGGGAACACGCTGGAAGGTCCGACACAATTCAGAGGAAGTGCAGGTGTACTCAGATGGCGGCAGTAACAGAGGGTATTTGAGTCAAACACAGCTAGGCGCGACTTCGGAGGAGCTAGGATCCGAAAAGGAGTCTTTGGAAACAACACTTTGAGAAGAGTGCCCAGCAGCAGCAGAACAGGACACAGAAGGGGATACAGGGAGAAGGAAAATCAGACTTGGTTTTACTCCAGCCACAAACGGGGAAAATTAGAGGTGTAGGGAGGACAGGACGGAGGTTGATATGGAAGATAAGACAGGGCGGAGCAGGCGGAAACCTCAGACGGTTAACAAACATGACATTCTGCATGACAAGGAAGTTTAGGCACCAAGGCGACCCGCATAATTTTGGATAACTGGCCAAAGAGGGTTTAGGGTTTGGGGTTTTTGGAGCGGCCCCTATCTCCGGACTCGAGACTAAGGGGGAGACAAAGTCTAAAGCGTGGGACCTTGCAAGGGTAATCAAGGCTCATCCGGAGTAGTGGTGGAGCTCTTTCTGGTTTTCTGAGGACATATCTGGCAGATCTGTGTAACAGATCTGAGAGGAAAGGGTGACGCACGGCAAACTGACAGTCAATCCTCCACTAGGTTGCAGTAATCAATGCCATTGAGGGGTCCTTCGGCCAGACGGAAGGAAGCGTGGGTATATCATATTTGTAAAACTATTTTGACTTGCCGGTGGAATAGGAACCGGACTGATGCGACCGGACTGACGCGCGCGAACTGTGGGCGATGCGCTATCGCCAATCGGGTAGCGCCGGTTCGCGACTCAAGCACTGCCTCCGCACAGGAACGAGCACCAGCGCCCTGGGGGGAATTGCGCCGCGGGACATCACGCATGCGCCATAGCCCTTTCGAAAGCAACGGAGAGGACGAGCTCTGGTAAGCTTCCCACGTCAGCGCCAAGCCACGCCTGCGGGCGTGGCCATTCTCAATACTTGGGAGTTAGGGCGAGAAAAGGCAGGAAAGGTGAGAGAAAGGGAAGAGAGAGAACAAACAACGACGAAGGAATGAGGAAGGTGGAGGGAGAGGACGAAAGAAGGGAGGGGTACAGTCAGAGAAAGGAAGGCGCGCACTTCTCGGCTACAACCAACGGACAACAAGGCAGGAACCCAATTGACGCGAGGTACTAAAGCAGAATTCGAAGACAGCGAGCGGCATTGCAAGTGAGAACAGAAACTAACCCTTCACCTCACAACCACCATCTTCGCCTAAAACTACCAAACCAACCTGATTCTCCTTAACCAGCACCTTTCCCAAATCCGCACAAAAGACCAAGAGCACAACGATCCGTCACCATCGCGAACCATCCCCGTCTTCATCACCAACTTCGCCCTCTCCGAGTCCACTTCCCACCCCGTTCTCACCTCCCAMCCCTCCCTCACTCCTCACTCCTCTCCCACTCCTTCGTAAACCCGTCCCCTCGTCCTACGACGACGCCAACCCATCACAAGCCAGCTCCCCTTCTTAACTCCAGTCCATCCCRCCCYGATCATCCCCCATCCTAGYCCCGTCCCCGATCCTATCTCCCACCCGGAGCCCGCCCCCAGTCCCTCCCCCCACCACGATCCTAACCCACTCAGATCCCACTTCCTCTCTCATCCCGCTCCCACCACCTCACGAGCGTAATCCAACCTTCCGCCCGGATCCCCTCCCACTTCGATCTCAGCCCAGCACATGCGCCTTATCTCCCCGACCTCACCCCATCCCGAGCCCATCTCGTTTCTACCGCCCTCCCCTTTTTCACTTTTCACTCCCATCCTCCACCCCGACCCCGTCCCCAGCTTCCCCCCCCCCCTCAATCCGACCCTATCCCACCA